ATAATAATAATAATAATGATAATAATAATAATGATAATAATAATGAAAGGACGACGATCAGCTGGACATAAGAACAGCTGGTATAAACCGGTGATCAGCAATATGTAATCTATGAAAATTGAAATACAATGTATACTAAAATCTGCGATTAAGAATCTAAGAGTATAAATATAAGAAAGGAGAAAATTGATATAAGAAATCGCACGATCTCGGAATTTATATGTACGAGCGACGTTTTGAGAGTTTTCAAAATTGGACGAGCCTATTAGGCGAGTCCAATTTGAGAACTTTCAATACATCACTAGCCTGCGTCACATCCGGAATTTTCTTCGTAAATACCGTCTGCGAAACATCGCCAGAAAGCTTGTTCTGGACCCCCCGCAAATTGCGCGATTATATATAATAGATTCTGATTGGCTGTTAGCCATTGCTCATTCTAACGTGAACTCTCATTGGATATACATCACGAGTGTCTATAAATTCCGAAGTGTACGAGAAGGTTGTGCAAAGAGCAAAAATGTGTACTCTACATTTGGGATCAATTGTATTCCTCTTGTCCAATCAGAATCAGAGTAGTTTTGTAGAGTGTATTATAAAGTATAGTATATACACAGACACGAAAACACCGCGCCCACAAAACATATACACATATATCCATTATTTAAGACTTACATGATCGTGAGCTAGTAGAAAGAGATCGGTTTGGCTTTATGCATTTCATTCCAAATAGGCAATGCAGCTCGGTTTGGAGGACAAAATAGAATGAGGGCTTTTGAACCACTGCCAAATCCTGTTTATCATTTAAATGTTACTTACGAGTCCTGAAACAGTGGTAACGTTGTCCTTTYTGAGACCAGAAGAATCCATGCCAATCATTCCTTCCATGAACTCAATAATCTCGGCTGCCGTACAGTCGATTGTACTCTTGTTTTTCGCCATAAGCTGGAGAATGAAAACGGGATTACTTCTACCAAACAAGATCCAGACGTAGTTCTCTCCATACATCTTAAGTTTGTAAGCCTGCAACGTACATTCAGTTAAGAAGTAAGAAAAACTGATGCTTGACTACAACAGTGCGTATGCACAGTAATTAGTCAATCGTGAGATAAGGATATGTGGTAAGCAACAATATTCCTTACTTTCACCTACGTCATTGAAAATTTTCCCAGGACTTATATAAAATAATACCATGATCACCACAAATTTTCCCTCGTTATTCGGGGAAATTTCATCACTAATTTCCCTCGTGTCATGGTATTACTTATAAATAAAACTTCTATAGGCCGAAAAAGCAATCATGAGAAAAGTAAGACAGGATCAATGAAGCCATCGTGTAAACGTCCTATTACAAACATTGTCTTTGCAGTCATTATTTCTTATACATTATCCCCTATTCCTAATTCCTTATTCTTCCCTATCATAGGGCATAAAATGTATTGAAACATTGATAGTATAAAATTATTTTGGTAAAWTTTTTTCAAATATAACGGAATAAACAAAGTGTTTGACAAACAGTTTCGTGGAGTAAATACTTTGGATTTTAGTTTTTTGATGAAGTCACGTTCAAAGCCAAGAATATGTACCCTCCTTCGCAAACGTTCTTAGGGCTGTCACGTAATAACGTTTCCCTCCCCACGAACGTCTGCTTACTTGAGCAAAACATTCCTTTCCAACTGCTATCATGGGTCAATCGAAATCGTCTTATTGTTTGTATAATTTTAGATTTGAATATCAGGAAAAAAGACACAATTCAGGATTTAGAAAAAAAATTATTATAATTACTTCCGCTCTGGCAAACCTTGGGAAACATCAATGATTATCGTCACAGAATAACTGATCGTTCGACCAATCATAGCGCGCGAACCTCTATATCCAAGTCAAAAACTATGTTAAATAGAGATATTTTCTACCTCTTTCTTCAGATCAAGATCCTGGTTATTTCGATAAGCAACAAAGATCGAAGTAAAATGACCAACAAACCTCACAGAACACTGTTGGTGCACTGAGATCCTGAAATTCCGCGATAATGATACGAGCGTCTAGAGACTGCAATAAAACAGTAACATATATAATATAGTCAATATTCACTTTAATATCATAAATCATGGACATTTATATATTTTTAAAGATATAGCTAAATAGCATCATTATCGTTATTTCCTACATTAATATTGATCAACAACAGCAGTGTGATAACGGAGCAGTAATCTACCTTTAATTTTTTGACTTGGAAGCTGGTGTCAAGAGTACTGCTATACTGAAACCCCTCGACAGCAATAGCACTAATGTTCTCTTTCTCTAACATTTTCTGGAGTTCTCTTACAGACTAGAAGTAAATATATGTAAGGAAAAACTGAGTATTGATATCAATATGAAAAAAGAGAAAGTATTCGTGAAACGAAAGCTGAAATGACCCCTCAAAAGGTAACACGATTTCATGGCAATATTTCATTGCCAAAACATAAGTTCCTCAATACCAAACAACAACAACATCATCAGTCAACTTCCATCGAGATCAAAGAAACCTTTTTAAGCTATTGAGTCTTGTTCATCATTGCGCGTCAAAGTTCGTCTAATACGGAGCCTATATATATCCCAAATTAAGCTATTGGGTCTTGTTCATCATTGCGCGTCAAAGTTCGTCTAATACTGAGCCTATATATATCCCAAATTAGAGTGTCTGGGTGAGGGGTCTAGTGCCTCTGTTAGGGCACATGAGTCAAATTGCTGGATCGTTTGTTTTTCTGCATGCGATTAACGCTATTTGCGCCCATGTTTTTATTCATTAAGAAAACAGTGAGCCTACAGCTAGAATGTACGTTCGTCAACATATTTAGATTTTTCCATACGGCTCGTGGGTTGAGCCGGATGCATCGAAAAAAAATCACTTTTCATTAGAATTCAAAACGAGATTCAGATTTTAAGCTTTGGGAGAATTTATTCTCTTTAGATCGAAGTCACGGCGGTATTCAGCAAAAAAATCTTAAAACTTACTACTCTTAAAGTTTTATTAGAACAGTTATTTACTTAAAGTGACTTCTTATATAATCAATGTGGATGTAGATAGTAAAAAAATTTGCAAAAGACGAAATTTGGAACAATTCCGATAGAGTCTTGAAGAACGTTTGGCTAGTTTTGTCATCCAAATGAGCCGTTATGAATAAAAAGTAGATTGATCGCCGAAGCAATGTTCTTGTACATTAATCTGCGAAGGTACAAATCTACACAATAGATGTCGCTAGAGACAATTAACTTATCATCTTACCGGCTAAATTTAAAATATGAAATTGAGGGAAATACTTTGAAACCTTCGAACGTCAACAACTATAAGGACACAGGAAGCCCAATCTCTGGAACGTCAACTAGTATCCACGAGTTCGCCAAAGGGCGGTTTGATATTAAACTTTTGTGTATATACAAAAGTATCATATGATGATGTTTCTATCTGCTTCTTCTTACCGGTGAGAATATTTCTGAATGATACGCGTGAATAATGGCCACTCGCTTCCAGTGAAAGTGCTTCATAAAGGCCACTTTTGCTATGTTGAGAGAACTGGTGGATGGAACCATCCGATAAACATTCCGGTATTCAAGAGATTCGCCGAATTTGGGGGATATCGCCGCATACGTAATCTAGTGAGAAAGGGGGAAAAAAGATAAATCATTATTGGTGATGGCTCTGTTATTCACGTTCCAGAAACCTAGAGAGGTATATACACTCAATTTAAAAAACGTTGTCGTAGACCAACTAAAGTGTAAGCCACTAGACCGAAATGAATTCTGGGTATAAATTACTGAGGCAGTTGACTGCCAATTTTATCTCATTATAATCATGCCTCTGGTTTACAGACGAGCCTTCGTAGGCGAGTGGAAAGTGGTGAAGAAAACGTTTTTTTTAATGCCTTCGTATTTTCGGGATTGTGAGCTGAACCATAACTAATTTGTTTTTCTTTCTCCTAAACCCAAAGACTTAATGATTTGTTGCTATCCGTCTTTATTTCAGAACTAGCAGAAACAATGAATTCACCTTTTGAACGCTTGCCATCACGTGACATAAAACCCGTTGGATCGTGTTACGGTCACTAAAAAGTTTGGACATCGTTCTCGGATTCATTCTCACACAAATTTACTGAATTTAAAAAGAAAATTCAGAACGATTTCTTTAGCTACTTTTTTTAAACAGCAGTAAGAAAAGCCTCGATAATGTTAGAGAGATGATATTTTGCTTGTAGTTAGAGAGCTAACTAAACAAACCGAGTAAATGGTGTGTTTAAAAACCAGTACATTCTTACAGAATCCGAGAACAATTGATGTCCGAACTTTTTGGTAACACAATGCAACACGTTTTGGGCTAGCGCTCAAAAGATTAATAGGCGACTTGCACTAAGAGGTCACGTGATCAAATCCGCTATTATGGCTGGCATTCTACAGGATTTTAGCTATGCGAGAATGTAAAAAAGATGGCGGCCTCGACTAGTCTCGTGATACAATGTGAAGACCTACGAAGTATTTAGTCTTGTTTAGCCGGCTTCATGATCTAAAAACGACTTCTTGTCGAAAACCTTAAAGTATTTTCCAACTTCATTATTGAAAAATGCATTTGTCATTGTCTTGTCAAGAAATATTGATACTTTTAATAGATATCTTAAGTAGATTTTTGCTATTAATTTCTCAGAAAAAAAGGGGGAAAATGTGGTGTTTTGAGGTCATGAGGTCATGTGTCGGCGAAACAAGATTTTTAAAACGCTTCGTCGGTCTTTACATCGTATCGCAAAAAAAGAAAACACCATAATTTTTTCACGCCCTTTGAAGTCTGTCCTAGGTAATGTGCGAGATATACCTCAAGTAAGTTCCATCTAGAAACTGACTTAGCTACAGGCTCAAGAGCTGCCGTCGTTGCTGGTCCTATCAGCATCATCTTGGTAGGAGGATTGTGAATCCAATCGAATAATATCTCAATTGCTTTGCCTCCATTGCCCTGTGTTCATAAGGAAGACCATGTAAATTTAGTAGGAYATTCTAGTATAATTAAGGTGCCGACACACGGTGCAACATTGCACGCAACATCGCTTGTGTCAGCCTGCTATGTTAAGATATTTGGTCAGCAGTTATAAATTTGGTGCAAGCTGATTGGCTGGAAATTTYAAAATGTTGCAGGTAATGTTGCAGCCATGTTCACATGATGAAATTTGTTGCGCGCAATGTTGCAAGAGTAAAGCGCGATTCAACTTTTGTTGCATGCAACGTTGCGTACAACAAGCTTGGGGTAGACACACGCTGCAAAAGTCCTGCTGCGTGCAATGTTGCGTGCAATGTTAATAAAAAAACCGAAATATTTTAAGAATGTTTCTTAACCAATTAGAAGCGTTGTTGTGATCTTTCAGTTATCTTGTGGTTAGAAAGTCAATTCTGATTAGCCAAAGAACAATAGAACATTCCTGGAATATTTTTGGTGCCCACGGTTTTTCGATTAGCACTGTAACAGTTATTCCACGAACTCCAGTCGTACGATGATTTCCTATACAATTATATCAAATATTATAGCGATGATGCTGCTTAAAGCTTCTAGAAAGTGTGTGAAACATTTTGTCCGTGTTGCATGCTAGAAAAAGCATTGTCATGATGAATATTAAAACAAACAAATAAACAAACTAGCGTAGTGTGACATTGTAGAGTGCAAATCATACATCCATGAAATAATTTTTGTGCTATTTCACGGATATATGGCTTTCATTTTATGCATTAACTCACGGTAGAAAACTGTAAAAACAATGAAATCGATATGTATGCACACCAAAGTCTGCCGTTATAGTTGAGTGAAATCGTCCTTTATGTATCATTTAAAATAGCACTATTCTTTTTATATATTTTTAGATTCAAATGCCTTGCTTGATGCGATGTATACTAATACTTACCCAGATAGTATCGCCAAAGTGAAGCACTATTTCATGACCAGGAAGAATATCGGTGTTGTTATTGATCATCTCCATCGCCATCACCATCGCCTTCTTGACGGCATACCTGTCTTCGTTAAGATACCGTACATATGCTCCAATATGGAGCTGTATGGGATGAACACATGGTGTACTTTGATTTTTACACTCAGATGAATTGCAACATGAGCTGCTGTTTGAATATTGTCCTTTCTGGCAGCAGAGTTCAATTAGGTTTGTCTCATTGTGACAGCATCCTACAACAGGGGTGGTGTTGATCATTGAAGTGTAAGCCAGGAGTAGGATGAGAGAGGTAAGGAGGGTAGAAAGAGATAGAGGAGCAATCTCCATTTCTGAATGAATAAATAAACATAAAAAACATAATTTTTTCATTTCAATTGTAAGTTAATTATAATCATACTTTCTTGTTATTTCGCAGTTATACGGCTATTTCTAAAAAGGTTGAATACTAAATACTGCATACTGAATGGTGCATTCCAAGATTAAAGTGCATTATGGGTCATAGTGACATTGTAGGATTAACAATAATTACTTATTTTATTTTTAGTGTATTCCATCTGAAACAATGCACTAACTACATGTAGAGATTTTATTGCTTTTTGTTATATAGCTACAAAATTTTCCTATATAACGAACACTCTCATTGATTGAAAGATGACCACGTGACACTAGTTAAATCTAAATGTTTCCCAACCGGGAAAGAACTTACTTATTTCCCTGTCGGGAAATMAGTTGCACGTGACCATAATCGTGACAATAAACATGTGCACGTGATCAGAACGTGAAAATCGCTGAATGCGTGATATTTTGCACCAATCAAAAACAACAGAGCGGGAGCAGATATTTTGTTTGAATTTTCAGTACAAATAGAGCTCGAAGCGAAACAATAGAGATTTTCCAGTGTTTCTACAGAAAAATTACAGACTTTTATTGAGAAAAAGGATTTGAAAAATACGAAAAAAGCGACTGAAAATGCTGTTGCTACTCTCCTCGCTTTTGGTAGAGAAATACAAGACCGTGAGTTGTGAGTTGTATTTGTAAAATCATGGTCTGTTTTCATGCATTTAGCTTGCTAAATAAAGTTCTTATTGCGTAAAATGACTTCTCAATATTTCTTAATTGCTATATAACAAAACACTTAATGTCTGGTCCCTCGGGAAATTAGTTAGTTTTGTTTTCCCGAGAGTCTCGATGTTTCCGGCTTCGCCTCGTGAAACATCGAGACTCTCGGGAAAACAAAACTATTTCCCTTGCGTCCGTCCGTCCAATTACCTATTAACCAAACCAATTACTCGTYCACCCTTCCTTCCGCCCATCAAAAAGTCCTTTAAATGCTTTCCTAGCACGTACAAAATCAGTAGCTCCGATCTTAACGATRAAATACCCAAATGAACGATGTTCTTAAAAGCCAATTTTGTCATTTTTTTAACGACTAATACAGCTAAGACAAATGGATGAACTGAGCCAGTCATTTCCCTATTTGTCGGAGCAGAGATAAGATCCCATTTGAAACAGCAAGGAAATGCCTTTCAAGTGGGTTAAGAATTCAATTTTCATTTTAAGTTGGCTTGCGATTATTATAATAGATTGGCTAGAATTCTTCTGGTCAAAGCGGATTAAATATATGTGCTATCGTTTTTCTGCCCTGCGTTATAACTTTACAAATCTATGCAAATACAAGAGTCATGTTTTGTTCAACTATAGGAAATTTATGATCTTTCGTTATTAGAATTATATTTCATTAAAATATTAAGATTTAATGAAAACTCTACTTCATACAAGTCTAGAATCCGCGAGGTTAGTTMGGCTTCCATACGATCACTTATTTTGTCAAACATTAAAAGGAATTAAAATAGGATTGGAGTTTTAAAGTGTTAACAAAAAACTGATCCAATCTGACGGCAATTTATAATACAGCATAAAACCACGAAAAGCCGATAAATAATATGGCTTTTCATTCGGTTTTCGCATGAGTAAAATCCAATTTTCATCGCTGTTGATTCAGTTGCTTTTCCAAACATTAAACAGCAAACAAAATCAAGGGTTTTTTTAATTTCTTTAAATTAAAATTTCGCACTATCGAATAAATATCCATCTAGCATCACAATATGGCTGAAAGATTTCAATTGCCTCCTCAGTATTACATGCCTTCATGCTTGCTATATCTGTTAGTCTATGTCAACAAGACAAAGTTTATTTGCTGAGAGTCCTACAGAATCGATTTTGGCGCGGGTTTCATCTATCTCATAAAACTGAAATGGCTTTGCAAAAGGTGTCTGTTGTTGTTTACCATGACTCTAACTCTTTCGCGCCAACGTGCTAAAAATTGCATTGATTTGTACCGGGCCAGTATAGCGTGAGATAAATCGTTCAGTTGAATAATCACTGAAAAACACTGAACAATCTATAGGTGTTAACCAATATACAACTGAAGTAAAAACAATGCATGTCTGGTGGTGAACTTCTTATTTTCTGGAATATCTTTTCATTTAATGAATAAGACTTATCCGTTTGCCTCACGATTGCATGAGTCATTTGTAGAAAAGAGCGCGACGTTTCCACTACAAACTAGTCTTAGTTAGGCAATGACGGGATGGTGCCTCGGTCATGTTTTATCCGTTTTTTTTTTTTTTTTTTGCTTTTTTCCGAAAATTTTAAATTTATTTATTCATTTTTAATATCTAACGAATGACGAAGCTTTTTCTCCTGCTTTCTCTTAAGATAATGCGAATTTAAGTGCGAAACGACGATGTTTGTATTATTGATAGGAATCGGAAAATTTAGAAATAAGGACAAGAACAAAATCGCACATGACATGCACCCACACGAAACTGAAAAAAAGGAGGAGAAGAAGAAGAAAACACAAATAACAAAAATGAAAAGAAATGAAAATTCAATATTAAATAAAATGAAGAAAGGAACGGTATGCAAACAGAGCGAGTAGCGAACAGATTTATTCCGATAGATAAAAAGAACACTTGGCATGGTTATCCGACTATTGCAGAGAAATGCTTAAATAAACACAAAATGCCATCGACGACCCTTGGGAATATAATATTTACAACTGTTTCGAAAATCGGTAAGGAAATGCACTGTACGAAAAATTAAACTTTTACTTATACATTACTTATTTTCAGTTATAAGTTTGCCATTTCTTTCAACCAAATTTTAAAAAAGATACTTATATCATATACTCTATTCAGTTAARAAGTCTAAATATAAGAAAAAGACGTTTTGGCCAAACCTGGCCTTTCCGGTGTCATGATAATTCTATATTTTATTCCAATCGAGGTATCGTTCAAACTGATTTCACCTCTAAACTAATTCCATTATTTTTGGTAACACATTTTGGTTTTCAATGCGATTGTCAAATACTGCATAATACTCTATCATGAAAAATAAAATAAAAAACATACCTTGAAAAATTCTGTTTGTACAAATTTGGTTTCAGCTCGTATCCATAACATCCATTCCTTACGTCCTTACACTACATCTAACGCTAATGGTCACGGAAAGTAAAAGCGAAAAGTATAGATTCGTGTTTGTTCGTTAACTATTACTTTCTGAATAACTAACCTATGCGGCGATATGGTAAGAACAGTATATTATGAGAAGATCTATTGTATGTATAAATCMTCGATGTAGGCCCGGCCAAGTCAAGAGTCAAACTTGATCTTTTCAAGTCTAAGTAACTACCTATATTTGGTACTTCCAATTGATAAAAGTACTTGAATTTTTTTTAAAGCTTGATAAAGTTAATGTATTGTTGATCAAAGGAAAGACAGAACAAAAGGAGTTTATGTTGAAAGGAAAACTTATGATGATGAGGTTGTTTTTTGTTTGTTTATTTGGACGTTAAGCTTTGTGCGCTATAATAGTCGATCGGGTAATAATTCGAAACAAAAAAATAATAATAAAGTGAATAAATAAAATAAGATTAAAAAAAAAAAACAAAGAGAAAAGAAAAGAAAGGCGGGGCAGGAAAGAATAGGAATGAAAAAAAAAAAAAGATATATATATATATATATATGTATACCGTCCTGGAAGAGATATTTTCCGAATTTTTTTAATTTCTTTATTAGTTTTGTCCAAGTTCTTATACAATGACCTTTAAATCCTTTCAGTCTAAAATGTCTGGAAATCAAGTTAAGATGAGCGAATTTTAATTATTCTGGAAGTCCCCATCTCATGAACATTACTGACAAGCTGACATGCTGCAATACGTATTATACTTATTTAAAGAAAAGTCTAATAATCTACAGAACTATTACGTTCAAAGGATATTGAATATCATAAGGCAGTCTTATCGTGTTGTGACTAATTGCTCTTTCGACATTTCGTTGCATTTTGTGCATTGGTCTTACAAATTAGATTATGACAAGGATTTCTTAATTTCGAATTAGTTATCTATTTTTCCTTTTAAACCTTATTTGCTTTGTTTGGATATCTTTTATATGATTTAAAATTCTGCTAACCCACTTCGATTTTTTTGCACAGAATTTTTCCTTTCAAATGTATTCATATAATAATCGTGTCAACACCGAGTTAAATTCTCTTTGTTAATGTGATGAGATGAATTTTAATTTATAGCTTTCATTTTCATTTTCTTATGTTTTTTTCATTTTATTTTTCTGTTTTGGGGGGGTTAAGTAGGCGAAGGTAATCGTGAAAAAATAGGAAGGAAAAAATATTTTAAAACAGTAAGGTGTAGCAGAAAGAAAGAACAGGTGAATTATACCTATAGGATGAGAGGAGAAAAGGTCGTGAGAATGGAATTAAAACAAAGAATGTGGAAGGAAGGAGATAATGACAACAATAACAACAACATTGRACAACAAAAACAAAACAATAGCAACGACAGAAATTTACAAAAATGAAAGGAGAGAAGAAAAAAAGAAAGAATTATTGCAAAGGAAAGAAAGAAAGAAAGAAAGAAGAAAAGAAGAAAAGAAAAAAGTAATAAATTTGGTGCCTCTTCGTGATATGTAAGTAGACTATTAAAGACAGTTTGACTAGCAATTGTAAATTGATCTTAAAGCCTCTATTTTCCCTAATGCGTCACGTACAGGGTCTTATAACAGAAGCAGCGCATCCGTTTTAGAATGGGTGTAATTGAAAATTATTTCAGGCCATTAATCATACCGCTGATCAGGCTAAAATCATGCTATGGGTCTTGATATTTTGAAATAAAAGCCTGCTATAAGGATTAGACCCTTTACACTTTGGGCGGAGTGTTCTGGAATGACAATCATTATGGCGATGGAAATGATGATGATGGTGATTATGAAAGTGAAGATGAAGATGAGGATGAGGATGAGGAGTGATGATGAGGATGATGAGGATGGCGGTGATGACGGTGATAATAAGAATAAGAGTGAGGATGATAGTGTTGATGATGGTGATGRTAATAATGAGGATGATGGTGATAATGAGGATAAGAGTGAGGATGATAGTGTTGATGATGAAGATGGTAATGATGATGAGGATACATGCAGCATCACCAGCGAAAAATTCTTTTAAATTACTGAATCGCAATATATATAATCGCTATCTCTCTCTCTCTCTCTCTCTCTCTCTCTCTCTCTCT